TTAACTGCTGTTACATCGCCGCAGTACGCGTCCGAAAGTCTCAACGTGACTCGAATCCGTACTTGTCCTTTCCGGTGACCGTGCTCCTATCCCTTACACTACCGAGACCCCGCTTGCCTCCGCCTTCTTAAGGCATAAATCGTCAACCTCGTGAGACCTATGGTGACAACTTTTCGGACGACCGTAATTCCCTTGTTTGGAGGGTACATTCAAATCTGCACCTTCCCTTATGTTTATGATATACCTAACCCCTTATATCTACTTTGGTGCACTCAATTCGCCACCTTTCGAAAAATGGTGGAGCCTTGCAGAAATACACCAACCGTTTCGTCTTTGCGCGCATTCGGTGAGTCCTTTTCTGGGATCACTCTTCATTTCCCATTTCCCGCATGACAGCCTCTTCAACCGCGGTGTGTACGGTCAACGGCAAACCTCGAAACGGTTGACTTGTCTAACATACGATCCCGTTTTCGAATACAGTTGCTTGTGAAGGAGTACGATGCGGAACTTGCAGAAACACAAAAATGGCTGCTGATTTGTTTGTATGTTCTGATCCGATGGGACGAGTCTACCCAGAGAAAATACAATTTAATCTTAATGAGATTCGAAAGCCTTATAAGCTTCTTGACGAGAAGTTGGAGAGAAAAAACAAACGCTGTGTGCTACTTGCGCGCGGCACGCGCACTGACGCACATTTTTCTGATTAAAGGATGTCCAGCGTGGAAGAAATGTTAAGATCCCAGAGTGTACGCATAATTCACACTACGAGTGCTTAAGCTGCTGAGATGGGTCAGATCGCCTTTCCCTTTTTCGCGATGGTCTGGACTAGAATCTCTACCGTCAGCGCGATATCGCAAATTTGGGTTAGGAAAAGTATAAAATTTGATCCGAACATCTTCAAGAAGGGCTTTTCTGGATCAGTGCAGCTCAGGGTCAAAGTTTTCCTAAGAATACGATTCGAAAACTAAGGCGCACCTGCTCACGAATGGAAAGATTAAGACTGGTGTTGACAAAGTGTTCGCGACTTTATCCCAGCTTTAAATCCTCCTACGAATTTCCTCTCGACCACAATCCCGTGGATCGCTGGATATAGTCCATACTGGAGAGGAAAGCCTGCGCTTCAAAACGCATTACTGCTGCAGCTTCTAAGAGATCACTGGAGAAAGCCCGGGCTGTAGTTTCCCAGGAAACTGCGTGCCACCGTCAATGAGTAGCCAAAGCGTCTTCGAGCTATCAGTGCGAGAGATGGTTCTATATGATGACAGTGTGTTCGTTCCGTAGATACGAAGTGTAGTGAATAGCTCACATGAAATAACTTTGTGACAAAACAAAATAGCTCATTTTTTTGCTCCCACAATTATGGCGCACCCTGTGTATATACAGATGTTAATGACAAGCACAACAGTAAAGACTGAGGTGGCAAATAGTTGTGTTTTCTGAAAAACTGAGAAATTTCTCGTCTCACCTTGGATAGATTAACTGAGCACTTAGCCTTTCTTTAAGGTTGATATACTCTGAGCCAGCTCCATGAGTAAAGAAGTGTTCGCCTAGTGAAGTCTTGAGAAAACATCATTTGTTTGAGTTACCTATAGTTTTTGAGATTTGAAGGAAAACAACTTGTTAGCATCGAATGGGATTGTGCCCAAAATAATTTTATGCACTGTCATGAGTAATTTTCTACTTCCCTCTGCCAAGTGAGTCAAAATACAACATTTTGTTTCTTACGATAGCACGATGCTATTATAAGTGAACCCAAAAGCTCTTATAGAAACTATCCCAGTGGAACTGTTTCGAACCCTCTCGATGACCTGAAAAATTTTTCCCTGGTATAGAGAAGAGATGACATTCCCATATTCAAGTGTAGGTCGCACGTATATTTTGAAGGATCTGAGAAGGACCGTTGAATCCTAACTAAAAAGTGCACGTAGCAGAAAAAAAACCTAGATATGTATATTCGGACCTTTGTTGTCGAACCGGTTGAAAATTGTTGAAGATCTTGAAAATTTTGTGGATTCTATTTGACCTCATCTCTATTGACTTTACTTCTCGGCACTTTTGCCTCGTTACCAAAAAATTATGTGATTAATGAGAACTGTGCTTTTAAGATCAAAAGAAAAGAAAAGATCCATCAACTCAGAAAAAGTAATAAACGGCTAATTTAACCAAAAAAACATCACGTTCTGGAATTTCCAGGCTTTCCGTTTTCCAACGGCGACAGAATGATGAATGTTCGTCACGTCACGAAAATTTGTCGCGAATGGATCAGTACTACTGCGTGAATGACAGTAGTAGTTGTAACAATTATAGTACAACTGATGACGAATTTTCCAACGATTATAAAAGAAGTGTCATCGACACGATACTCAACCATTTCCTTACAAAGTCTTCTAGTGAATTTCTAATTTCTTAGAATGATCTCCTCCTCTACCTTCCTTCAGTGATACCCTGATCTTTTGGGATTCTAGATTTCCACCTTCATTAGATAAAATCTTATGCCATTCCTATCACATTTAACGGATACAATGTCATCTCAAATTTTTTGCCAATCCCTTGGCAGTATCAGCTACAACTTTAGAAAAAAATCTTGGTACTGGGGTTGATGATATTTTGGTGCTTCCTCCAGAAAGGCTCTCGAAGTCGTGAATGAATTTCTCGAAACCGCTGCTTGCCTCTTGTAATGAGTTCACATAGGAATCTTATAAAAGACATTAATTTGTCCCGAGCAACCCACAGTGAGAACTAGTAAACTAATTATACAGTCTGAAAGTAAAAAGAAGGAAAGGGAGGGAGAACTGTTCATTTTGGCTGATTCTCCTTATAGATCACCCAGTCGGGAGCATACAGTGCTGAAAGGATGGTTCTAATTAATGTCCAATTAAAAATTCTCTTTTTTTCAGTATCAAAATTAACGTTCATGTGTTGAGTTCTTCATTCTAAGGTAAATAACATTTCCAGTAGACTTAAAGGAGTTTCCACATAAAGCACGGAACAACATTAAGTTTTGTCTAAAGCAAGACTTCGAGGAATGCTCTTTCAAAATCTACAGCAGGGTCGAAATTGCCGGCTGGCCACTTTCACCAGGGAAGGATCCCAAGTCGAAGTGGCCATTTGAAATGAGACCTACAC